ATATTTTAGAAAATTGATTTGGTCTTATTTTGTAACAAATATATTGTAGGTCCTTCACAAAAAAACTCATTTTCAGCACTTGAAAAATGGAAAATTGATTTTTCGTGCAAAGGAAATAAAAACTCCCTTTGTCAATATTGTTTGCAAATCCACGATGTAAACTTGTGCAAAATATGATATCATTTGAACAAATATTTGATAGGACTTTCACAAAAAAACTCATTTTGAGCACTGAAAAATGGAATGAATTTTTTATCTTGAATCGATCACGACCAATTTATATGGTCATAAGGTCATCAAATGGTTTGCTCCGTTCTGATTGGAACATGAGCATATCACGCGGATCATGCATCGACCACCGCCGGATGCTTCCGGATCCAACGGCCCAAACCCACCCGAGCCGAAACCCTAGGTCAGTCCTCATGGACATTTTCCACCCACCCCCCGCCTCCATTATTTCTCTCCCTCCCTCCCCTGCCTCCACCAGCGAGCCCCTCTGCTCTCCCTCGCTTCGATCTGGTGGAGCCGCCGCCCCCAACCTCTCTCTCCGACTTCGATCCGCCGCTGCCTCCAACCGCTCCCAGCCCACTCCTCTTCCCCTCCTCCTCTGGCAGCCCAGTCGTTGTCGCGACCGAGGACCAGAGACACGGGCGGGGAGCTCGAGGCGGAGGAGCAGCAGCTGCGGCGGCGGCGGCGAGTCAGGGCAAGGCCAGAAGCGATGGGGTTCGTCTTCTTCGTCGGGAGTGTGCTCTTCGCCTCCGTCTTCCTCCTCTCCGCCTACCAAGAGTACGTGCGCGCGCACCCCCCCTCTTTCCCCTCTTGCCCTGCCAGATCTCGCTCCTGCCGCCTCCGAGGGATGACCGCGCGGGCCTCCTGTGGAGCTAGGCTCCGCACTCCTGTTCGTTGGTGCCTGCGCTTGGGAGAATCAAGGGCTGGCTCACGCTGACGCGGCGCCGTGGCGAGATCCAGCCGGGCGCCACGTCGTTGGATCCCTCCCGACGTGGCAGATCTGGCCGGTGTAGGATAGGTGTCGGACCGCCGTGGTAAATCGTAGAGGCTCAGAGGCGCACGGGGAGCACGCATGTTGCCTACTTGCTGATGAGGGCTTCGGATCAGGCAGGCGACCCATTTCATCATGTGGATGGCGTAGCGGGCAAAAGCGCACGGCTCCTGCGACTACCATCTGGCCCAGATATTTCCAAGTCTAGCGCCTCGCCATGAACCTCTTCCAGAATGCGGACTTCACCCGAGGCTCGCTCGTTATTAGTACTAGCTTGCTAGCTTCACTCTACTGGCGTTTATGTTTATTTGACTATATATCCTGTTTAGGTGTCGCAACCTAGGATCATAGTTCTTGCCCCCGTATCATGGCTTTAGGGTATTAATACTGTATGTATGGTTGCAATTTAACTCTTTTGGGTAAGAGGTTTGAAAGGACATGCGGTGCCCCCCTGTGTGGTTTTGGTAATTGATGACATTCTCTATGGACTAATGGTTGCATTGAGTTATATTTGAAGGATTTGTCCATAGGCATTTCTTGAAGTCCATGTGTTGGTTTCAAGGAGTTTATGTGTTGACCAAGGTGCTATTAAGGAATTATCCAAAGATTGGTCATGTGAGTGTTCGGCTTATTGCAAGCATGTCTTGAAGAAGAAGATTGTGTGATCATTCATGTTTACCTTCATGACATCATCCAAACGAAGAGAGTTGGAAATATTCAAGGTTGATCAAGACTATGTCAAGAGTGAATCAAGTTGATCAACTCACAAAGCGTAAAAGATGTACCGAGAGGGATCAAGTGATCCCATGGTATGGTAAGCATTGTTCATTGCACTTTGTGTACTAACCCATGGTCTATGTGAGATTTCTATGCGGGGTTAGGTACGTGTCCATGGGCTTGCGTCAAGAGGAAGATATCATACAACCCATGGAAAGGATGACATCAAGTGGTGATCGTCATCAAGATTGTCGTGTGCAAGTTCAGGTGGAGCACCACGAAGAGATCAAGTTCTTGAAGCTTGTCATTCATTGTGGTGTCAATGGACTTGTGAAGATGTGCCGAAGAGTGGCTCACCCATAGTGGAGTATGGGGGAGTAATCATCTAGTCTTCATCGAGCCAACGCAATCAAGAAAGGTGGTCCAACTTGAGGGAGCCAAGATCGTCATCATCTAGCTCAACTGGACCATGTGCAAGGCAAAGGTTTGCCCTTGATAGGCTTTCTATTTTACCGGTCTCGTGGTGGTAGTTGGGAGACCGGGTTATAGGATCGTTTGCCGTACTATCAAGGGGGGCTCTCAAGTTGGTGGCTTGATCGTATCGTTAGTAGAGAGCTCAAACCATTGCATCCTTGCATCATGTTTCTTGGTTCTTGTTTGGTTCTCTTTGTGAGTCTTAGAGCTTATGGTCATCTTGATGACAAGCTTGAGTTCATCGAAAACAGAGTTTTCATGCGTCTTCTATGATGTTTTCGGTGTTGGAGGTTTTACCAGTCTTATCCGAGGAAGGGTTCTCACCATTTTCTTTTGGGCCTGTTCTCATTTGCTTCTTATTGGTATTTCTATCAAGATTGTGTTAGCCCTTGTTGCTAGCTTTCCAACAAACTTGGTTTTGTCAAATTCGGAGTCCGTTTGCAAAAGTTGTGGCAGTTTTGGTGTTCTGAAAAGGCTGCAGCGGTACTACCGCGAATTGGAGCAGATGTAATTTTTTACTACCGCGGCTCCTACAGCGGTAGTACCGCTCCGGACCAAAAACTCATCCCAAGTCTTGCGGCGGTAGGCCCGGATGTATTTTTTAGTACCACTCGCAAGCAGTAGTACCGCTACCCTTTGCGGTAGTACCGCGATCCCTAGCGGTAGTACCGTGAGGACGAGCGGTAGTACCGCTCCGGCGGTTCTACTGGCCTTTTGCCTCCTCGTTGTTGTGTTTCAAAGGGCTACTATCGCTGCTCCTTGGAGCGGTAGTACCGCTCGGTGCGGTCTGTGAGCATAACGGTTGGATTTTTCCCCACCTATAAAAGGGGTCTTCTTCCCCAATGAACCTGATCTCTTTAGCTCGTGTTCTTCCCCCATTGTTGACCTTCTTCGAGCTTGCTAACTCGCAATCCCTCCATGGATTCTTGCTAGTTTTTGAGGGAAAAGAGAAAGGAGATCTAGATCCATGTTTCCACCAATCACTTTCTTCTCTAGGTGAGGGGAACCCCTTGGATCTAGATCTTGGAGTTCTTGGTGTTCTCCTTGTTCTTCCTCTCATTTTCCTCCCTAGCATTAGTTGCTTCGGTGGGATTTGAGAGAGAAGGACTTGGGCACTCCGTGTGCCCTTGCCATTGCATTTGGTGCATCGGTTTGAGTTCTCCACGGTGATACGTGGAAGTGAAGTTTGAGAAGCTTATTACTCTTGGGTATTTGGGCACCCTAGAGCTTGTTCCTCTTGGGTGCCTTGGCGCCCTAGACGGTTGGTGTTGTTCGGAGCTCAATCATTGTGGTGTAAAGCTCCGGGCAAGCGTCGGGGTCTCCAATTAGGTTGTGGAGATCGCCCCGAGCAATTTGATGGGTACCGGTGACCGCCCCCAAGGATTGCCAAAGTGTACGGGTTCGGTGACCGCCCCCAAGGGTTGCCATTTGTACGGGTTCGGTGACCGCCCTCAAGGGTCACTTAGTGGAATCACGACATCTTGCATTGTGCGAGGGCGTGAGGAGATTACGGTGGCTCTAGTGGCTTCTTGGTGAGCATTGTGCCTCCACACCGCTCCAAACGGAGATTAGCATCCGCAAGGGTGTGAACTTCGGGATACATTGTCGTCTCCGCGTGCCTCGGTTATCTCTTACCCAAGCCCTTTACTTATGCACTTTACTTTGTGATAGCCATATTGTTTCTTGTCATATATCTTGCTATCACATAGTTGCTTATCTTGCTTAGCTTAAGTTGTTGGTGCACATAGGTGAGCCTAGTTGTTTTAGGTTTTGTGCTTGACAAATTAACCGCTAGGTTTATTCCGCATTTGTTCAAGCCTAAACCGTAATTATTTTAAAACACCTATTCACCCCCCCTCTAAGCGACATCCACAATCTTTCAAGGTTGGTACTCCGACTGCGTTGGAGGGGCTTTTTTCTGCTGCTTGTTTTTTGCTTCAGTTGGGTACATGAATCTCTGGTTATAAGGATTTCAGAGCCAGGACTTGTTCTGAATCTTTGGTTGTTTCATGATACTAGTCCGCACTTGCAGTATATACTCCTAAGGTTATGCATGCCTGATCAATACCAGTGTGAGATGTTGATTCATGTATCCGTGTTTGGTGCGACATTCATGCACCTCGTCGTGTGTAATTATTCGATGTGTACGAGACCTACGGTATATACTTACTAGTACTATCTACTGTGATTGAGTATTTATTGGTGGTGCTCCGACTGCGTATTATTTACCCATTTGCATCTTCTTAATCTAGCATCAAAGCCCCCCCAAAAACAAATAATCCTTTAAATCCTTATTTGTTCTATATGTATGTACTGTTGGCTGACATACTTACGTGTTCTTTTTTGTGGATTAACAGAGGAGGAAGCAAACTTGCTGAAGCAAACTTGCCCGACAAGAAGGGATCCCTCAAGGTAACCCCAACATCTTCTAGTTTGCACTTTGCTCACCAACAATACTGATTGATCGATAGGTAGATGCTGACCCTCTCTTTTTGTGATGTGTGGCTATTGCAGCTGGATGAATGGGTGCTGTGCCGGCTGTACAACAAGAAGAACAACTGGGAGAAGGTCAAGGTGGAGCAGGACATGGCTGTGGAGGCATGGCCTGGACGCTCATCAACCTCAGCCACTTCGTGGTACCTGCCTCTCCCCATCCCCTCCCTCCCTCGCTTACACGCCCTGGACTCCCATGGATCTGAAGGCTTGCGGTTTGTGTTTGTTTACCTCGATTGCTTGCTTCGTGCAGTCAGGAATTGGGGTATATCGTTCGCATCTGCCCACCCTTCGCCTCCCCTAGCTACAAATTGCTATGACACATTCGCCAATCCTGCCAACTAATAAAGTGTATTCTAGTTTGAAGGTTTACTGTTTCATAATAGCCAAATAAATAGCCTGAATTTAATCATTCTTTTGCTACTTTAAATATAATAATGTAGTGGAAAAATTCATGAAATCATTATGGCAGTAAATACTACAGTTCTAGTTGGCCCAACCTCAATTCTGGAAGTACAAATTATTGCTATTTTTCTCATAAGATTATAGCATGAAACATACTATCTAGAAATTATTTCTCTATTGTCATTGCTTTCCTAATTGAATCTTCATTTCAGATTACATACCACTTCTTCCACTGGAAGAAGGGAACTCCATTCGCTGATGATCAGGGGATGTATAATAGATTGACTTGGTGGGAGCAAATGGACAACGGCAAGCAGCTTACTTGCAACAGAAAATTTCTTGTTGTGGTTCCTGTAGTCCTGTATGTGTTATTATGTTTCAATTTTATTAATACTGCTTTTGGGAGCTTACTTGGCAAGGAACAACATGGCAGGATGCATGCACAAGGATTGATTCTGGCTAGTCAGAAATACTACACTTATTCATTACTTATGCAAAGAACACTTGTTAGTAGCATCTAGGTCTAACTTGCATATTCACGCCATTATACATGTGTAAGGATTGAGCATTGCTCTATTGCTCTATTCATGCCATTATACATGTGTAAAAATTGTTCACTTAACTTCATTATCTTTAATAATTGATTATTCACTTCCAGTTAGTAGTAACTTAAACTTGGCGGCAAAATGGTTAAATACTTGGCTGTGATCACGTTTGTGGTTGGTGTGCGAGCAAGCAAAATCAGAAGTGATCCCAACTGATCATATTATTTTTGCGTTTGCTAGAATTGTCCATGGACATTTAATCTGTTTTGTGTATAGTAGGTAAAATAGCAGAGTACACCAATTACCATTTTGTCTGTTGACATACACTTCCAAAGACCTTTTAGCACAGAGTTCATATAGTTACACAGTGTTTTTTAGATTACATATCATACAGTTATGCAGTGCTCCCTACACTGTCTGTTTACTATATATATCATTCATGTATTGTTGGATAGTACTGACTACATACCAGGGTGAATTAACCACAATTTGCCACAATTTGCAGCGGTCGTGCTCCACCAGTTGTTTTGTGGTTCTTGCAATCAAGGGAGTTCCTCGCAAGACAGGGCCCTCCCTCTTCTGCTTCTTCTACTACCCGCTGTTGCTGATTGGTCTATGCACGATGGGTAATCCATCAATGTTTATTTGCTACTGATGTAGTAGCTGGTATGCTTGATGCATGTATCTCTGTCTCCTTACTGTTTTGCTAGAACCATAAATCCTGATGCATGATGATTATAGTCTGGTTTGCTAGATCTATTCTATTGGTGCTTAAAATTTGACATGCCTGGATTCTGAATGAACTTGTTCTTACAGTTCTTTTCATTTCTATGATCAATTTAGTTAGAGTTGCACATGTCAGTATACTATATGCCAAAAAGATCCTAGCTAGTGAGAACATTTCACTCCATGAACATATAGTAGTTAGTGTTAGTCATACTATTTATCTACATGGCATTTGCTGTCAATTCTTGCTTATAAGTTATTGGATTCCTCATTGGCTATTGTTTGATGTTCTGTACACATTCTTATTCTTATATTTTCATTCTTATTCTTTGCACAGGTGAAGTGCAAATCAAATTCCGAAGTTGTGAAGCATATCAGTAGTAGCATATTATGTGTTGTAATTGCAGGCAGTAGTAGGCATATCTGGCTTGTAGTATACTGTAATGATTGTAATAGACTAATTAATGTAGTGTTGTTTTGGATGAATTTCGATTGCTCTCTGGTCTGATAATTATTGTGTATGTGGTTTGAATACCTGTGAAATGGAAACCTGACAATGGAGTCCAAGTTATAATGGTTGTTTGGCAAAGTTTGAAATTTTTGATGTGTGGGACCAATTTTGGGATAAGCATGACAGTGGGACCAATCTGTGGTGGGACCAGCTGCAAAATAAAATGGCTAAAAATAGAAAATCAATATATCGGCAAAAAGGCCATGCCCTAGAAAATAGAAGGCCAAATTGTTGGGCCAGGCCCATGTAGCTAGAGAAAATTAACAGAAAAATATATATTAAAAAGGCTGAATTAATGGGCTCGACCCATCTAAAGCACCGAAATGGACTGGGCTGATTCTAAGTAACGACCTTTTCAATTGGTCGTAATTTTGCCACATCAGATTGTCACGTCAGATCCGACGTGGCCTGGGCAGACAGCCAGTGACCAAAACAAAAGGTCATGGGTTCAACGACCTTCTGTTTTGGTCGTAAACATCTATGACCTTCTCACAGAGAAGGTCGTTAATTTCAGTTTACGGCCGCCAACTTTTGACCATCTGTTTTTGGTCAAAAAGGTTGCAAATGAAAATCAATGACCTTTCAAGGACCAATAGTGAGGGTCACAAATTGACATATTTCTTGTAGTAAACTTCTTTTTTGGACAAATAACGTCAAGAAAGGACCAAGTAATCTCTAAAATTTTTATGCCAATTGTTTGGAAAAATTGGTAGGGCATGATGGAGCGTGAACAAACATAGCCTAGATTGTCACAATACCTAGTCGTCTCTACCAAAGGTGTCCTCTACGCCGCCACCTCAGTACTGCTCCTCTCCCCTATCCGGTGCCCTCATTAGTAGCAAGAGGAGTGGAGACTCGTATGTTTCATTTTTCTTTCCTTGGGTTCTGTTTTCCTGGCAGCATCGATGAGGTGGTGGCGGTGATAGGGTGTTGGAATAAGGTCTCTTTGGCCTCTTCCTACCTCGATAACGCTCGATTTGGCACCGACGAAAAGCATGCGAGAATTTGTGTTGCAAGATCTGTTGTCTCCTGATACGTCTCCAACGTATCTATAATTTTTGATTGTTCCATACTATTATATTATCAACCTTGGATGTTTTATATGCATTTATATGATTTTTGGGACTAACCTATTAACCCAGAGCCCAGTGCCAGTTTTTGTTTTTTCCTTATTTTAGAGTATCACAGAAAAGGAAAATCAAACGGAGTCCAATTGACCTAAAACTTCACGGAACTTATTTTTGGAAGGAAAGCAACCCGGGAGACTTGGAGTCCACGTCAAGGAAGCTTCGAGGAAGCCACGAGGTAGGGGGCGCGCCCACCCCCCTGGGCAGGCCCTCCACCCTCGTGGGCCACTCATGGCTCCCCTAACGTACTTCTTCCGCCTATATATATCCATATATCCTAAAACGATCGGGAACACAATAGATCGGGAGTTCCGCCGCCAGAAGCCTCCGTAGCCACCAAAAGCCAATCTAGACCCGTTCCGGCACACTGCCAGAGGGGGAATCCTTCTACGGTGGTCATCTTCATCATCCCGGTGCTCTCCATGACGAGGAGGGAGTAGTTCTCCCTCGGGGCTGAGGGTATGTACCAGTAGCTATGTGTTTGATCTCTCTCTCTCTCTCGTGTTCTTCAGGTGATACGATCTTGATGTATCGCGACCTTTGCTATTATATTTGGATCCTATGATGTTTTCTCCCCCCTCTACTCTCTTGTAATGGATTGAGTTTCCCCTTTGAAGTTATCTTATCGGATTGAGTCTTTAAAGATTTGAGAACACTTGATGTATGTTTTGCCGTGCGTATCTGTGGTGACAATGGGATATCACGTGATTCACTTGATGTATGTTTTGATGATCAACTTGCGGGTTCTGCCCATGAACCTATGCATAGGGGTTGGCACATGTTTTCGTCGTGATTCTCCGGTAGGAACTTTGGGGCACTCTTTGAGGTTCTATCTGTTGGTTGAATAGATGAATCTGAGATTGTGTGATGCATATCGTATAATCATACCCACGGATACTTGAGGTGACATTAGAGTATCTAGGTGACATTAGGGTTTTTGGTTGATCTGTGTCTTAAGGTGTTATTCTAGTATGAACTCTAGGGCTGTTTGTGACACTTATAGGAATAGCCCAATGGATTGATTGGAAAGAATAACTTTGAGGTGGTTTCGTACCCTACCATAATCTCTTCGTTTGTTCTCCGCTATTAGTGACTTTGGAGTGACTCTTTGTTGCATGTTAAGGGATAGTTATGTGATCCAATTATGTTATTATTGTTGAGAGAACTTGCACTAGTGAAAGTATGAACCCTAGGCCTTGTTTACTAGCATTGCAATACCGTTTGTGCTCACTTTTATCATTAGTTACCTTGCTGTTTTTATATTTTCAGATTACAAAACCTTTATCTACCATCCATATACCACTTGTATCACCATCTCTTCACCGAACTAGTGCACCTATACAATTTACCATTTGTATTGGGTGTGTTGGGGACACAAGAGACTCTTTGTTATTTGGTTGCAGGGTTGCTTGAGAGAGACCATCTTCATCCCACGCCTCCTACGGATTGATAAACCTTAGGTCATTCACTTGAGGGAAATTTGCTACTGTCCTACAAACCTCTGCACTTGGAGGCCCAACAACGTCTACAAGAAGAAGGTTGTGTAGTAGACATCATCTCCCTGGTTGGTCACCAAGTCTAGTGGTGGGACAGGGAGCACAATGGTGTGCTCCCGCTAGCTCGGATTCAATCCCTGTGGGCGTCACTTAACCATCCTAGTTAATTTTGTGGTATCAGATTGTGTCTCACATCATTCCTTGTTAGTTAAAAAACCATAGGGGCTCCTCCCCGATGGTCTCGGTTCTTTTAAAGATATGTTGGCTCTCTCCGGATATTGGCAGTTGATGTGTCTATCGAGGAGAGCAAGCGACATCTTCTTTACTAATTTTTTGTGCCTATTCTTTGGACCGATGGTGATGGATTGCAAGCCTGTGTTACCTGGGTAATACTTCAACCAATGTTTTTAGTGATTTGTCGATCTTGTTACAAGGGTGAGTTACCATTGCAGTTCTTAAAGGCTAGTATGGCAGGGCATTTGTTAGTGTCTCTTTCCTTTACTGTTGGTTCAATGCAATTTGTAATCTCCGCTCGGTGGCATACAATCAGAGGAAGAAGACTGCTAGTATGATTTTTTTTCTGTTGGCCATTCTGCATCCAGTTTGTCTTTCCATTATACTGGCTACTTATAACTATGTGTCTTTTCTCAAGAATTTTTTTGTAATCCTACCGGCAACATGTGAGGGATGGGAGGTAACCAGATTAGACATCCTCTCCTTATTAACTAGGTGATTTCCCCACACATTGTGACGGGAAATTTGAAGATTAATTTCAGCCAAATAAAATTCCACATTAAAACCATCCGGACATGGATAAGCGTTCAACTTCATCTCTTTAAGAATCTGCAAAACTTCATTTTTATCAGGCAGAAAATAAGTAGGATCCAAAGAGTTGACAGGCAAGTGAGTATTGAGAAAAGGTCTTCCAATGTCATTGTTAGGCGAGGAGAAGATGTATCTAAAATAGTTGACAAAAGTATTAGTGATAGCACTAGGCTCTTAAAATGAATCACATCATTCTCATCCTTAATAGAACAAACAATATTCCTTTTTCTTCTTTTGATCACGGCCTGATGAAAAAATTTAGTATTGCAATCACCAGCAGTGGCCCAACCC